CAGCTTGTAATCACTTTCTAACTGCTGGCAGCGCGTCAAAGTCCTCCAGAGGAGGACAATCTGCAGAGATGAGGATCAAATCCCCCACTCTGTCCACAGTCAAGCTAACTAGTCAACTTTTCCACTTAAACAAAGCATGCCAGAACAAAAACAACAAGGTACTGGGAAAATTCGTCTTTTGGGATTCTGGGATGTCAATATAACTATGTTTGATATTAACTATAAATTAAAAGAGACCCATAAGATGTTCCACTTAATAGACATAGATTAAAATAAAGAACAAAAATATTGAGTTGATGTGAAAAACAGAGTCTTCTACATTTGCAAATAATGCAATTAAATTTAAATTACACCAACACAACAGGTTTATTGCAAGTGTTTTTTTAATTACCTTTTTGAAACATTATGCTTAAAGAAATGATGGCACCAATAGTAGGTCCTGTCATGTATTAAAAATAAACATGCAATATAAAATGCTATACCAGTAATGCCAGCAAGCATAGTTATGTATGCAGTAAAATGCTTTCTGTCCCTTTTAGCTTAAATGTAAGTCATTTATATATACAGTACAGAAATGCAAAGCAACCACCATTTCCACTACAACATATTACAGTACAGAAATCACATTACATGGGGACGACAGAAGAAGTTGGGTATGGAGTCACATAAATCCAAGGCAGGAAATGAAATCTGCGGGTGATTGTAGTGTAGCATATTGGTGTCCCTCATATTTTTTGATGCAATGCTTATCATTTACATCACTCACTTTATCAATCAGGACATTATGATTCAATCTTTTAATCATAAATGACATGTAAACATTCAATTTATGTGAGGGAAGGACATGTGCAAACACTTGCCATATATTATATAATTCAGTGCAAAACTCAATATAGAATATAAAAATATTTCTTCCAATATTTCAAAAACAAACAGAATTAGCTGATAGCAGTTTAGCTTATGTGAACATAAAGTTATGTTCTGGCTACCTGCTACAATGACAGCTTCTTTTTCACACCAAACTAACACTAGCTTGGATAGATTAGTTTGCAGAGAGCAGAGCTTTGACTGCTTCAGCTTTTATCAGACTTCGGTTATTATTGCTACCAGCATTCACATGCATCAGAACAATGATGCACAAATGAATACGTCACCTTGCACCATGTGGACTGTGTTACAGCACTGATTACTATCTTTAGTAACAAGTTGTGTGATTGTTTCAAGTTTAAAACTCAGTACAACATTACATTAGGACATCAAGACCAGATGTCCATCAGTCACCTCACTGGCAGAGAGGACGAGCTGGACCGAGTAACAGCTTACTAAACAAATGAAGAAATGACTGTGTGTGTGTGTGTGTGTGCGTGCGTGTGTGTGTGCGTGTGTGTGTGAGTGAGTGTGTGTGTGAAAGTGTGCGTGTGTGTTTGTCTGTGCTTTGCTTTTCCAGACAACCGTTCATCCACCATACTTCAAACTTGGCAGTGTATTTTCTAGGGACCCAAGGAAGTGCAGTGTAGTGTTTAAAGTACTTTGGATGAGCAGTTCTAGAGAAATAAGGCTTTTTTAAAAAACCCATTAAAGGACAGTCTGTGGTAGAGCTGGTGCAATTAATCGATATAACGCCATCATCATCATGACAAAGCCTGGACAACAAGCTGCGTCTAGAAAATTCTCGTCCACAATCGTTTTACATGTGGGAGCATTTTAGAACCAACAGGGTGGTGCTCTGTAAACAGTGCAAACTGGAAATGGCTTATTGCACCAGAACAGCTGTTATTATTATCATTAGCATAATAACACAGCAGTGACATGATAATTATATGTTTGAATAAAATGTAAAGAAAAAAAACAACTAAAAATTATTCACACTTTTTTATATATATATATATTAATTTGGGGTAAAACAGTTGTTCTATTAATCAAATACAAAAGTAATCCTTATATTGTTTTATAAACTCAGTGGTTTTTAAACAATACTCAGAGCAATGCAGAGCTGGTAAAGGGTGACTCTCTCTCTGTTGGTTGGTTATACCTAATGAGGTGTCAACTAGTTTGAGTTGTATTGCTTTGGACTGTTTCGATAACCACGCACTTTTGTTTGGACGAGTGGTTGCTTGTTGGTATTGAGAAAGCTGCGTGCAGCAATACTGGAGGCTATGCAACGGGCCTGTTTCTGAACAGGTAGTAGTTGAACAGGCACTGCATTTTTTTTTTTTTCAAGTAATGATGCTGCATTAGTAGTATATTAATGTAACATATTTTTTCTCGCAATGCAGTAAGTAAGTGCGTAAATATGATTGAATATTTGTTCAAAGTACTGAATAACTGAATAACCCTGACAATGAACACAGGAGCAGATCAACCAGTGGTGACCTACAGAGAGCATTTGCTGAAAAAGAAATGGAGTGACTGGATCACAGTGTCATGGTTGAAATCAGCGAAAACATTGACATCATGAAAGAAGTAGAACTTCCCAACAATCAGTTTAGTGGTGGTACAGCGATTGGGCGTCATCAGGATGTGGTGGAAGGGCACAGGTTGGACTGTACCATTTCTTCCATCGAGTTTCAGCACATTTCTGAACAAAATGCTGTTCAGAGACACACTTTCCACAGTTCCGATGTAGACTGAATAAAGAAAAGACATGAAGAAACACATTAAAAATACAAATCTGCGTGTATTTCTTGACAGCATTTTTTTCCCCAAGTTCACCATAAATTCAATCATGAAGTGATATCTTACTTTCTCGGCAAAGTTCTGTGTCCTTCAGGTTGTTCACAGATAGAAGTCTGCATTCTGAAAAAGAACAATATACACATATATGATATGGAGGAACCAGACGAACTGAAAGAAATGATTTATATCGTTGCAGTTTTCATCCATCTCTGTGTGGACTGAGCATCTGAGATTAGCCTCATCAGTTCGGCATCAGTTTACAAATTTGGTCACTATCTCCCCTTCTGTTCCGTGGTTATGATGTTGAACAACTACCCCAAATAAAAGTGGGTTTGGTAGAACTTAATGATATCACAGTGAAGTTGACCTTTGACCTATGGCAAACAGGGCACCGTGGCCTTGACTCTTAATGTTTTGACACCAAAAAGTGAATGTTTGTGCCAAATTTGATGAAGGTGTTCAATAGCCATTGTGTTCACAAAAAATACGAATACGGTCATAGATGAACACTTAAAACAAGTGCTATTATGTGAGATGACATCCAAGCAAAGGCAATTACCATTCATCCCGCTCTGCTGCTTGTGTCCTGGCCTCAGCACCCCTGCGCAGCACGACCACAGAAACGAGTTGAAATATAGGTGACCACAGCATCCAAATCCCGTCTTTTTGGGGTAAAGCACCGCTTCGTCCTTACTTGAGCAGCAAACTTCCTGTTTCTAAAGTAGACATAAAGCATTTTATTATCAATAAAAACTTGCTGGTTTGTTTTTTTCTTTGCTAGGAATTTAATGAATAATGAAATGGATATCACTGCATGAGCTAATTACACCTCAAATATACAGTAAATACATGCAGGATTCAGTTATGGATCCCACCATGGTTATGGGCAGAATATCTCAGATGGGACAATCAAGCCCAGAAATAAAAGCACCAGATTCAGTGTAATAACTAGGGCTGGGACTTTAACGTGTTAATTTCAATTAATTAATTACAGAAAAACACGTGTCAAAAAAATAACTCATTTAATCGCAATTTTCTCAGTTCAAAAATTTCTGGCACACTGGTAACACTGATGCACACACTCTAGCAGGTAGGTGCCGGCACTGCACCTAAAGTTCGTTTGCGAGCCGTAAAAAAAAGATGCACAAGATGTGCTGAGTGACGTCAGTGCACAAGAAAGTTTGGTAAAGAGTGATAGAAGACAAGACCGCATTGCTTGGCTTGTTGGGCGGAAAGCTGGGGGTTTTTTGGCTTGTGTTTTTTGTTGTTTGTTTGTTTTTTTAAAATCAAGGCCTAATGCTACGCGTCCACAGGGGCGATTTTGCCAAAATTTGCCAAATTTACATAAAGTTGAAGTCAAGTCTACTTTATGCAAATGAGCTATATGCTATATGGTTGCGTACTTCACAGTATAACTTCCGGGTTAAAAAAAAAACGACTTCCATTGCAGCCGTTGTGTTGTGTTGTGGCTTATTTTTAGTGTTGTGGTTAATTTGGTTGTGTTGTGGCTTATTGTGTTGTGTTGTGGCTTTTGTTTTGTTGCGACACTTCTGGGCCACCGTACGTGACACAGTAGAGACAATTAATGGGTAACGAGAAATGAACGGATCTTGTGGACATGTAGCATGAGGCAGCTCGGATAACAGCATGGTCGTGTGCAAATTGTGCAACTGAATATAATAGCTATAATTGCACTTTGAGTTTGCACAAATCTGTGAATATAGTAGATAGATGAAAAATACACAGATAAATATCAATGAAAAATAAACATTTTTGTTGTTTAAGTTCACGTATATGTCTATTCATTAATTTTGTCGTCAAAAATGTATTTGAATTTAAAAAAAACTTTGCTTATTTTATCAAACATTGATTGACTGATTAATTGTGATTAATTATTTACAAAACCTCTAATTAAATAGATTTTTTTTTTTAAATCACGTCCCACCACTAGTTATAACATAAACTGTTGTGTTTGAGCTTTCTTTAATTTGTAGGAATCTGTGATGATGACGGTTAGCTTACAAGCTAATATGTTACAACACGTAAATAAAACAAGTTGGGAGTCGCTAAAAGCACATTTTTGATACTTTTGACAGAGTTAGTGTAACTATTTCCCGACACTTTCTGATGGTTCTTATATAGGCTAAATACACACATGGACAAACTTGATGGTACCCTTCTGTTAGAGGAAAATAAAACAACAACACAATGGTCACTGAAATAACTTGAAACTGGCAAATGTAATGATAAATAAAAAATTACTGAAAATTAATTAATGAAAATCAGACATTGCTGTTGAATCTTGGTTCAACAGAATCATTAAAAAAAACAAAAAAAACTCATGAAACAGGCCTGGACAAAAATTATGGTACCCTTAACTTAATATTTTGTTGTACAACCTTTTGAGGCAATCACTGCAATCATGCTATTTCTGTAACTCTTGGTGAGACTTCTGTGCCTGTCGACTGGTATTCCAGCCCATTCCTCATGAGCAGACTGCTCCAGCTGTCTCAGGTTTAAAGGGTGCCTTCTCCAGACGCCATGTTTCAGCTCCTTCCACAGATGTTTAATAGGATTTAGATCGGGGCTCTAGAAAGCCACTTCAGAATAGTCCAATGTTTTCCTCTGAGCCATTCTTGGGTGTTTTTAGCTGTGTTTTGAGTCATTAGCCTGTTGGAGGTGCCATAACCTGTGACTAAGACCAAGCTTTCTGACACTGGACAGCACATTTCTCTCTAGAATACCTTGATAGTCTTGAGATTTCATTGTACCCTGCACAGATTCAAGACACCCCGTGCCAGATGCCGCGAAGCAGCCCCAGAACATAACAGAGCCTCCTCCATGTTTCACAGTAGGGACAGTGTTCTGTTCTTGATATGCTTCATTTTTGCATCTGTGAGCTGATGTGCCTTGTCAAAAAGCTCCAGTTTTGGCTCATCTGTCCAAATCACATTCTCCCAGAAGCTTTGTGACTTGTCAACATGCAGTTTGGCAAATTCTGGTCTCGCTGTTTAATGATTTCCTTTCAACAGGGGTGTCCTGCCTTCAGCCATCTTCCATTAGGTCCACTTTGGCTCAAACAGCGATGGATGGTGCAATCTGACACTGAAGTACTTTGACCTTGGAGATCACCTCTAATCTAGTTGGAAGCTATTCTGGGCTCTTTTGTTACCATTCGTATTATCTGTCTCTTTGATTTCTCATAAATTTTCAAGGGAGGCTGGCTACAGTCCCATTGACCTTAAACTTCTGAATACATGCAACTGTAGCCATAGGAACATCAAGCTGCTTGGAGATGGTCTTATAGTCTTTACCTTTAACATGTTTTTCTATAATTTTCTTTCTAATCTCCTGAGACAACTCTCTCCTTCACTTCCTCTGGTCCATGTTTAGTGTGGTACACACCATGTCACCAAACAGCACAGTGACTACGAGTCACCCTTTAAACAAGCAGACTGACAGATTGTAAGTTTGAAGACATCTGTGATGTTAGTTGAACATGTCCCGATGGTCAAATTATTGTCAGTCTTTTCTCTTTTCTCTTCACTGTGGGTTATTCTTTCTTTAACGGAAGGGTACCAATCATTTTGTCCACGTGTGTATATTAGATTTTAATTCAGGAAAATTCAGGTACTTATATCTGCTGAGGCAATTAACAGTGATCTTTTATCAATCAATGACAGATCGTATTAATGTCTCTATATTCTTATTTTAGTTTTTTCTTTAAACAATATCCTCCACACAGAAAGTGGGGACCCCCTCTAACATAACAGCCCCACAAGTTTTGGCCATTAGTTTTAACTATTTCAGCTTCATTTCTGAAAAGCCATGTTTTGTCCATTATTTTGGAAGCCTGGGACATATTTGAGTCAGAAGAAGCCAGTCAAAAGGCAGGAGTTGGAACAGAAGTGTGGTCTAAGTGTGTCATTGTTGCCTTTCTTAATAAAACATGGGGCAAACACTGCATTAAGGGACCTATATGTCTGGAGCCAAAGGGTGCCCAAAATAGCTCATCACATTTTATAACATCTGTCTCTGAGTAACACATTGTTAATTGCACAGCTAATCGAGTTACCGCTAGTATTAGTCATGTGTACCTGTGGGTTTTGCAGAACGGATCCACAGCACTTTGCATCATGTCCGTGGTTTCCCAGATGCGTCAGGTCATAGAGCGTTCCTTTGCAGCACTTCATGTTTGGATCTGTAATGTTGTATGCTTTAACTCCACAGCATTGAAGGTTTTCTCTTTTGGGATATCTGGAGAAAAGTAGTGCTAGCAGTTAATATCAAATGAGGAGAGTGGCATAGAGAAGTTATTATGATCATTTTGTTCTAAAGACAGATAATTTGACGAAGAGCTAGAATCTTCAGTATATTACATACACACTGGGTGTCAGCCTGAAAGATAATGTGTTCACTCTTTGTTGTCGTCTTCAGCACAGTGTTCACACAGCAGTCAGAGTGCAATATACAGTCACAGTAGCAGACTTGAAGCGTAACAACACGCACTGATTTGCTGTTAAAAATGTAACATCCAAGTAAAAGCTTTAGAGAGACATCTGTTTCCATCTGACATGCATGACAAGGATGACTGAAACATGCAACTGAAAACTTCCACTGTGGTGATTCTTGGCCACTAGAGGGCAAATTAGCTCCGAAACCAGCTGACAAAACACAGTCCTGAACATTATCGTGTTAATCGAGTAGAACAGGCTACCTAACACTTTCCAACTTACACATATAACAGACCGATTCAGTATTCACTGTTATTTACATATAGCAAGGATTTCACAAAATACAAAAATATTTATGACTTTAGGTTGCTGGATGTGTCACTTTATTCCCCAGTGCTAAACCAAAAGCACAAAGCTGTGACCGAAAAATAAGAAGCAGCAACAACTGCTGAGTTGGGTGAATTATCACCACTAATGCCTGGTGTACTTTTTTTCTGTGGCTGGAAGTTGTTAAAACTAAAGCCCTTATAAATATGACAAACCCCAGGAGGAGAGCTAGACCTACTTGTAAAAGTCACAACATGCCCATGCTCGAGCATGCGACAAAAACATTTGAATAAACAGATTTTACCAGTAACTAATTCCAGGCATTGAAGCAGAAGAAAACTCAGACAAACAGACATTCCTGGCATAGCAACTGGGCGTCCTTTAAAGGTGCCAGATACAAAAACAAAGGCGGGACAGAGTCAGTGCTTCTGCTGGAATGCCGGCCTGTCCCCGAGACCGTGTGAAATCAGCAACGGAGGAATTTTCTGAGCCTCTCCTGTCTGGGTTTTTCTCTACATTCACTCAGAGAGAACATAAAAGGCATAAATTCCCATACACCCTTTTATGTGGAAAACACATGCTCACGAAAGGTCACCGTGAACAAACAGCACAGCAGCCAGACAATGTAAAATACCAGACAGATGGAAAAAAATACTGTCCTCTCATTTCTCCGGATTTCATCAGCATCCTAAATGAACACACATCAACATAAATAAGAACGCATGATCACCTGTGTCCACCGCAGCAGATCTCTTCAAGAGGCCGGTAGACTTCTGCCCCACAGCAGTGTTGTCCAGGAGAGGCATGAAACTGAGAATAACACATAGTCCCTTTAGCTGGGTTGTAAGGAATACCTGCATCTGAGCATTCCTCTCCATCCTCTCTGTCTTTGTACAAGACATTATGACAACAGAGAAGTCCACGCTGTGCTGAGCCATACGGTGTGTCTCCACAGCACTTTAAGGATCAGAAAAAAACATAGTAAATTGTGCAGCAATACAGACACAAGCAGACACTGTCTTTTACACATTCAAATGCACATGTCAACATTTAAATGAAAGAACTTTGACAAAAAAATAAAAATTAGTAAAAATAAAAATCAGGAATATAAAAATCACTATTCATCATAACATGCATCTTTCTACATTATTTCTACAAATAAAGTGTGTTTAAGTTATTAAAGTCTTACCGGAGCATTTTTATATTATCCTTTCGCATGAGCGGTTACTGTTAACAATGCCGTTACATGAGTTTAATGCATCAGATTGAAAACACCGTCCGTTATTGTATAACAGAAGGGTGGAGCTCTCCGAGCCCTCTCAACGAGACTTCACAAAAACAGATTTTTTTTAAAACTGGGTTTCTCTGCTGTCAGCTCTCAATTCTTTACATAAATCACACTGAAGGAGTGCACTGTTTTTTTTTATTTTTCGTTTTGGTATTTAGATCCCATGTCACAATTATTATTATTTATATTATTATTAATTATTATAATTATTTACTGGCCTACAATTTTCTTTTAAAGGGGTAGTCTGAGTTTCCCAAAGAAACAAAGAGAAAACCTGCTGACCTCAGCCAGCTGACTGCATCAAAACAAACAAAAACAAAAAAGAACAATAGTACATTACTTGATCCATCCCAGGCTTCAACTCAGAAATGCAGCCATCACAGCAGACATGTGTATGTGGATTATACACAGTAGGTGCGGCATCACATTGGCCTAAACATTTGGGTTGGGAGGGGAGATAGAGGAAAGAGTAGTTAGGATGGGAAAGTTATCAGAGGGTGTGGGGATGAATCATGTCAATTTGGAAGAGTCTAACAATGTGATTTATTGAAATAAAAAATGAGACGTGACAAAAACCACACATATCAGATGTGATGCTTACAAGCACCTGCAGTTAGATTTTTTTTTTCCTTGAGGACAATACCCTCTTTGAAACACAAGTGAGAGCCTGTTAACCTTCTTGATCATGCAAAAGATAGCACAGGAACTGTGTGGTTTGGCAACATGTCAGCTGAGACAGTTCAGACAATGTGAGTGCGTACTGCATCCAGATTCATTGGATGCGATCCCTCGCCCCTTTTGGAAATCTGTATTGTTAGATTACAAAAAGAAAGGTTTTAAAGGACCCATTTCACCTGGCTAAGAAACTTTTCAATGTTCTTTCTTCTCACAAAAGACTAAGAACCATTAGTCAAGAACATCCAGATTCTACAGTCGCACATACCCTGGAGTTTTCCGCCCTCTGAACACTCTAAACTTGGCACTGCAGGCTACTTTGCGGTTGAAATACTTGTGCAGTAAGGCAAAGGTTATTGACAAACACTTTCTTTTCATTTTTTTTCTTGTCTGAAGTAATCTCACAAAGAGACTTTCCTATCAGTTACGGCAATAAAGCGATAAATCTTCCATTTTAAATGAATGGGTGTGGTATGGAACCATGGGCGGGGTGTGCTTCTTTCATTTAAAAAAAACAAAAAAACAGTACAAAACTAAGGAATTCAGCAGACAGCCAATAGAGATAGTCATTTCCAATGCCGTAGAGACCAACACAAATGTGATCTTTCACACGTCCTATACTGCTCTTCAGCTGTATTCAATGATAAAATAAAGGTCAGGCATTTTCCCACTTGTCTTTCCAAGAAAAATAACTGCTCCATGTCGGTAAGACCCAGAACTAGAACAAGGATAGCACAGGAGCTGATACACAGGCCTGAGAAAGACAAACAACAGGAGAAGTAATCACCCTAATGTCACTCACTGGTACCACAGATACGTTTTCTCAAAATGGGCGGCTGCCTCACCATTCGAAGATTAGCTGTCTGTATCTTGACTGATTTGCAAGTCAGAGAACTTTAACGTCAGCTCCGTGATCAGAGAGGATTCGGCTGTGGGAAAGGGAACCGAATCAGAGTTTGCGCTTCTAAGAAGGCTGCCAACTCTCCCACACACAGGACTCATGCAGCTGGCCCTTTATTTTTTCCACACACTGTGATGCAACACTCCTCACACAGCAAAAAACTACTTAATGAGTATCTATGTCATGCCGTGAAAAGAGGGTACCAACAGCGCATGTACGTGCCATACAGAGCATACAGCGAGTATTTCAGATGCATCTGTTATACTGCAATTCAGTCCCAGGCATGCTGCTCTGAATGTTTTCTTTAGTAATAAACTTCTGGCAGTAGCACAGCATCTGTCTCTTTCTCCTTTTGAGCAATGTCAGCAAGTTACTATGATTACTCTGTGTGTCTGTCTCTGCCTAACAACAGGTCTGACTAGAATCAGTGTGTTAAATAAAAGCTGGGATTTGAATTTAATAGTAGCTGTAAGGCAATTTTAGTCAAATTGTTGGTACTTTGTTGCAGTTATCACACTTTGAAGATTTCCTTGTGAGTACTGAGCATACTAACGCTAAGGCTTAACATCATTTAACCTGGCCTATTTATAAAAATCATACTGTTTGATGTGGGCTGCAAGGTGGCTCGATGGTTAGCACTGTCACCTCGCAGCAAGAAGGTCGCAACACCCGGGATCTTTCTGTGTGGAGTTTATGTGTGGGTTGGATCCGGGTTCTCCGGTTCCTTCCACACCGTCCAAAAACATGTTGAGGTTAATTGGTGATTCTAAATTGCTCGTAGGTGTGAATGTGAGTGTGCTTGGTTGTCTGGCTCTAAGTGTAGCCCTGTGATAGACTGGTGACCTGTCCAGGGTGTCCTCTGCCTTCACCCTAAGTCAGCTGGGATAGACTCCAGCCCCCCCACGACCCTAGTGAGGATTGTGTATAGACATTGAATGGATGGATGGATACTATTTGATGTGTTGTAAGGCTGTTCCACTCATATGAAATGTTTTCCCTCATTTCATCTTGGATCTTGGATAATGTCTAGTCGACCGCAGCTTATTATGACTTCCATCTATCCATCCATGTCCGTCTGCTTATCTGAAACAATTGGGTTGCTGTGGCAGCTGGCCAGCATTTGTTCCTCTTCCCATCAACATTTTTCAGCTATCTTCTCTCCAGAAATGTAAGCCCTCCAGTGCACTCCCAGGTGCACCCTGCGGTATCCTGCCAGTTTGACAGGCTTGGAAAACCTCCAAAGGAAGGCGCCGTGGAGGCACCTAAATCAACCACCTCAGCTGGTTTTTCAAAACCAGCGGATGTCTGAGTCCATCACCCTATCTCTAGGGCTGAGTCCAGACAACCAATAAATGAAACCCATTCTGGTTGTTTGTATCTCCATTCCCATTCTGTCAGTTTGTACTAAAAGCTCATGAACATAGGTGAGGGATACAATATTAGCTGTTTCCATCACTTGTGAAAAATAGCCTGAGATACTTAAACTCCTTCACTTGAGGCAGAAGCTCATCCCCAACTCAGAAGGACTAATCCACTAGTTTCTAGCAGAGAACCATGGCCTCAGGCTCCATAATGTTTTCATACATCTAATTTCGATTACAAAATACCCATTCTTCTAATAATAATTTCCTGTCAACCAGATGGATACATTGTTGGTTTTCATAGCACCTTCAATCTAGATAAGCTGATTTGTTCAGGTGACTGTTTCTTGACTTAATACAAGAGGTTGGGGAGCATGAAAATAAATGAAATGAAAAATACTTTATTTATCCCAGAAGGGAAATTCAATAAGGAAAACTGCTTCAGATGTTTCAAGTTTGCTCACCCATTTTAAAACATAACCCGCTTCCCCAGCCTGTATCTACGGAGACTTGTAACTGAACAGCCCTTATCAGAAGTCATCCTGCAATCCATTCTCACATTTGGCACCTGCATCATGCCAGACGATTATCTTGTAAGTCAGTCTAGTGTTTATGTCTTAAGTTGTGAAGAGACATACGTGATTGTCTGGAAACTTGTCTGGAGGCAGACAGGGAAACAGGAAAGGCATCAGACGGTGCCGGATGGAAAAAAAAAAAAAACAACAACTCACTTTCCATTTTTCCTGACAAACGGCCCAGCAAGCACAAAAAGTATGTGCCCACCCTAGATCAGAATGCTTTAGTCAACCACAAGCCTGAAACTGTTTTCTCAAACAGAGTTGGGAGTGCACCATTTAGCCCTTCACTGTAGCTTTCCCCTCCGTGCTGTCACCTTCTTGAACATGTAGTATCATGCATTAAATATTCATTTTCACCAGCATTTGTTTGTGCTTAAATGCCTACAACAACCTGTTTCTATATTTAGCTGGACTTCTAGTGAATGTGTGATATATGACTAGCATGACACTGTTTTAAGTCCACCTAAACTTTGCAGGCAGGAGAGCCAGATGAATGGACAGATCAACAAAGAGTGTGACTTGAAACAAGAGGTTTGTGCTCTGTATAATACCAACTTGCAACATTGCTGTCATTTACACGCAATCCTAATCTTTAAATGTCAGCCAACAACTTCTGTCCTGTAAGATGTTATGAAGTAAATGCTGACTACGCAGTATGAAGGTTATGCAATAATCCTGTTTCGTTTGGCTCCCTATTATCCTCACTTTGGCAACGCAATTCTGTCTGGCACCAGGTACAAAATCGCCAAAATGAAAAATTAAGGCTTGATTTCCAGCACAAAGGAGGTGCATCTGCAGCAAGCAGGCTAACAGAACCATGGCATCAGCAAAAAGCAAAGCAAACGCCACTCTGAGGTTCCTGAACTGAATGTCCTTCTCACCACGGCTGTCACTTGAGATCCTGCATGAATGTCACTAACCGGATCAGAGTCACGAGACAAACTCGGTAGAGTCCAACACAGCTGTGGAAATGTGTTGGACTTTGTGCCAGGAAACCAAACACAGCTTGCACTTTGGTTCTGTGAGGACCAGATGTTTTATAGCAAAATAATGAATTAACTCATGCTTTATCTTCAAATCTTTTCTTCTGCTCCCTCCTCCAAAATCAACAAACATTAGCGTCTACTTTTTGTCATACAGCAGCTAAACCAACAGCTAAGCCTAACAAAATCTCCTGACCCAGGAGCACATTATATTATGTATTCACAGTTGTCCCTCAAGGCATTTCAATATGCATGTGCAATGAGGTGACATCAGGCACAGAACACTCAAGATGTTAATTAGGTTGCTCGACTTGTAGTGGAGTTGTCTGAGTAGTTATCATGTTCACAAGAAAACCCTCAAGATAAAAAACAGACTTGTTTCTCGGGGCAAACTGTCTTGTTCAATCACACGCAACATGTTTATCATCATATAAATCTTACTTTGACAGAGGTGACTGGCAGACTCCACCTGCTGATGTAATGTTTTTTCAGAGACAAACAGTTGCAACTTCAGCACAATGAAACCAAAGAATTACCTGAGGCACAGCACCAGTGAGGCTTGGTCTCTTTTCTCTCACAGCAGCGGCGTTCGTTTGGATTGTAACATGATGACCCACAGACATGTGTATTTGGTTCACTGCTGTGGATGTGCAATGATAAACATGATCAAAGAACACAAAGCTTGAAAATTACCACAAATTTGCATTCTAGGTCAAAATACAATAATTAGTTTAAAGGTTCCCTCTGAACTTTTGACCTCTAGTAGCACTTATAGAGTGCTTTTTCTGTAGTAGGGTGCCCGTTTTACCTCTCTTGAAGAGAAATGTTTCAAACTATTCTACTGTCTACAGATGTTGGTAATGCATCTAGAAAGGCATCAACATGCAGGCAAAAGGAGAAGACGACTACTGGCTAGTAAACATGGATGTAAGCGATGCACCCATGTTGCTTTTGGTGCTATTTACCCAAACTAAAATCTGATTTGTGTTGTTACCTTATTTGTTTGTGTTGATTAATGACTGTATGTTTGAAATGACTTACAGAATGCACTGCATTTTTGAGTAAAATATTATTGTGTCAAACACTGGGTTGTTGTTACCACGGGTTATCTTAGGTGGGAACCTAACAGTAATATAGAAACAACACAGAACAGCCCTCTCCTTCTGGGTGGGGCAGCCAAGCAGAGGTCTGCATTTAACTGTGAAAAAAATCCCGTGCAGAATGAAATGATAACTGTCAGTGTTAAAAAGAAATGTATGTTATTGGTTTTAGTATGATAATGCGGTCAAAACATTTCATTGACTTACCAGCTGGGTGGAGGTTCAGGTGTCTGAAGAAAATAAAGAAAACAAAATGTCTCACACATAAACAAATGTGTCTCATATAACAGCTTTGTGAATGCTTTACATGCCCTTTACTGACAAATGTGAGGCAGCATCAAAACAGTAGTGCAGTGGCCTAAAGGCCTTACAAAGGTCTGTTTTCAGGCTTCTGCGTATTATATTGTTATTAATATATTTGATTGCCCCTTGAACTACAGTTGTACATACTTTGTTTTCTTTATATACAGCGCCGTCCATAATTATTGGCACCCCTGGTTAAGATGTGTTCTTTAGCTTCTAGTAAATTCCGTTTTTTTCTAAATAATATAGGATCACAATGAAAAAAAAGAGGAAAATTCAACCTTTAATTCAAGTGCATTTATTCAGTGTGAAAAAAATCCCACATTAAAAAATAATTCTTTCACATCAAATCATGTGTGCCACAGTTATTAGCACCCTTGATGTTAATACTTTGTACAACCCCCTTTTGCCAACAATTCATTTAAGTTGAGTTGAAGGTTACATTTTTCTACAATTGTCAGTGTGAGAGTATGCTTCTGCAATAAAAAATGATATCTGTTTTATGGCTTTTAACACATCTTAACCAGGAGTGCCAATAACTATGGAGGGTAAATATATATACATACTTTTATATTTTTATCTACTGTGTTCTTTGTGTGCCACTGTCTTGTTCTGTTGCAATGCCTGAATTCAGTAAAGAATGATCTTATCTTCTATTACATTAGCAGTAACCAAAATAAATACGGCAGGAAGAAGAGGTGTTATGGTGCATCTGGGAAGTTGTGTCCCATAGCAGAGAAGTGAATCATACAAACTGTAGGAGGGTCTCACCAGATGTGGAACAACTGTGGAAAGAAACAAGAAGGAATTTTGAGTGAAAAAAA